TTCTTTATTACATGCACAACCACCCTTGGGGCTGCAAGTTTAAGTCCTAATAATGGAAGAGCCATTGAGGAGCATCATCAGCAGGTAGGGATAGATATAGAAAATCAAGAGCTTGAAATGCTAGTTTATGGTCATCCCTAGTTAGGGTTTTACTTTACTTGCATATATGATATGATGTATGTGCTTTACACTTTACAGCTTATCTTGTTTCCTTTAGTGATCAACATATGGTCCTTATGTTGCGTTGACCATGGCAATTAACCTCGTCAAGTCGGAGGCAATAATGAAATGGTCACCATAATGAATCAGCATTGGGGATTGTGAACAATATGAAGAACTTAACATATATAATAATTTGATGAATATATACAAATATTCCTCTTATCCTCTATACTATTTATATCAATTATATATCATGTGTAATAATTTGAGTTCAAATTTCATTGCCTCATTAGCTAGCTTCTCATGATATATTCCAATTTTTTTTTTTAAATATGTAAAAAAAGCATATCAGAAACCTTATTGGGCAATTATATAACATCGAATGATATATCATGTGTAATAATTTGAGTTCAAATTTCATTACCTCATTAGCCAGCTTCTCATGATATATTCCAATTTTTTTTTTAAAAAAAAATATGTAAAAAAGCATATCAGAAACCTTATTGGGCAACTATATAACATCGAATGATTGACTCTTAACTTGTAGGGGCATGTTATATTAAATTTTTTAATTGAGTCAAGTTGTTTGATTCTAGGACCAAATTTAATTTTGATTCTAGTAAGGGGTTGTTATATCGTGAGGCTCGATTTCATGAGCTCCCACATGGAAGAGATCACTACATGTCATCTAAACACAAAGTGCTTGTCACAATAATGTGTATATATTATTATTATTATTATTGAAGAAGAAGATAAGAAAATATATGGTCGATGCATGTGCATGCAGTAATAATATTGGAAAAGATAACGGAAGTTATAATAGTAGGGGTATGTTTGTCCAAAATATTGTAAAGTACAACTTTTATAGCATAATGCATTAAAAAAAAAAAAAAAAAAAAAACTTAACAGAAAAAATGGACATAAATGAAAGGTATAACCTTCCTTCACACTTATTATATTTTTAAATAAATAAATAAATATATATATATATACACACACACACACATATACGGATCAAATGAAATTGGGTGCTCATCAAGAGATTAGAGAGCTAGGAACCAATTATAGTCGTCCATTTAAAAATATCTAATAGATCATAAATAATTTTTTTTTTTTAAATGTGGTGGCATTTTTGTAAATAATTTAAACGTTGAAGTGTAAGTAAATTGTGTTAAAAATGCAAGTAACAGTTTCATAGGGTGCAACGATAGTGAAAGTAAAATGTATTAAAAGTGCAACAATATAATATACACCAAGCAACAATATTATATTAATCAAGACCTGTCTAGACTTCAACTACCCAATTTCAAACTTCAAAAGTGATAATGTTGATAATCCCCCATGGAAGTGATACAATTGCCAAATCTCAAGCTTGAGTGTTGTAGATCCAAAAGAAAAACAAAAACAAAAAGAATGCATTTGTTTATACGCCACAACAGTTTGGCAGAAGCAAAGGTGGATGATATGTATGCGGTACTTACTTGCATGCCGGGTTTTTCAGGCCTGTCAATGATGATTTATTCAAAAAATGTGATTTTCGGAAAGGATATTAGTTATGATTCGTTGTTTAGTTTCATTTTGTTGATTATGAAGGATTCGAAGGGTTCGTCAAAGGTCAATGGAATTTGATTGGAGATTATGAATTTAAAGAGAGGAAAGATTGTTGTTAATATTATGGACAATGTGTTAATGGATGCCGAATTTGAGCAATATGTTTGCCTAAATTTTAGTGATTGAGATTGATTTTTTTTTTTTTTTTTTTTTTTTGTATATTTCTGACAGATCTTGAGCTTTTCATCAAATTATGTTCTCATGTAACCTACTGATACACATCAATATATTAATCTAAACTTCAACTACCCAATTTTAAACTTCAAAAGTGATGATGTTGATAATTCCCCATGAAAGTAGTACAATTACCAAATCTCAAGCTTGAGTGTTGTTCAGATCCAAAAGAAAAACAAATACAAAAACAAAATGAATACATCAAGGGCGAAAGCTACGATGATGGATTATGGATATGACGATGGCTAGGTTAGGCCTATGGTAGTGAGATTCATACCCAGGCGGTGATGGAGTAGTGCAGTGCTCACTTTTTTATTTGGATTGAAACATTACGTACAAATGGTACAATTGCAAGTGTTGGCAAGAAAGAACGAGTGTTGTGTGGAGGTTGAAGATGAATATTTAGTTTAAAGGGAGAGAGTTGGTTGTAAAATATTTTACATTTAAAATAAATAAATATCACTTGCCACATCATTTTAACGTGAAACCAAATCATCAAAAACAGGGAGAAATCTAGAGAAAATGTTAAATGAAAGAAATTTTGAGGGTTAATATTTCAAAATTAGGGCCGGTTCTGAGCATGTCTAACATGAGCGACCGCACAGGGTCCCCCAATTTTTGGGGGTCCCATATTTTAAAAATAAAACTATAGGTATATATAGTAATAATAGTATTTATTTTATAAAAAGAAACTTGAGCCCAAATTGCTTTAAAAACAGTATCTATATATATAAGGACAATTAGGTCAGACTATAAGGACATTACCAAAACTGCAATTCGGGGTAATTAAATTTCCTAATCCGAAATCTCAATTAACAAATTCTCAAATCTCAATTAGGCAATAGCATGTTCAGATTATAAGGAATTAAAGACATTTTCAATTTCGCAATTTGACAATTCGAAACCCTATAAACTATGTACCGGTATCCTAATAAATTGGGCAATTCCCAATTGGCAAATTCAGCAGATCGCAGAGCGCAGCTCAACTGATTCTTCAATTCTTCTTGATCACACAAACTTTCAAGTTCTAACTCCCTTAACAGGTAATTAAAATTATGTATTTTTCACAATTTTTGTTTATTGTTTTATTGACATGACTTAATAATTCTGAATTTAGAATAATATATTTAAGATTTTGTTTATTGATTATTTATTTATTTATTTATTTATAGAGTTTCTAAATAAATTCTTTTTTCTATAGGATTTTATAATTATGTCTTCTAGAAAATATTCATCTGGATTTGATAAGCGTAAAAAGAAAAGAATAATTGAGCAACTAACTCAATCTCAAAAGGGAGCTCTTGAATTTCTCAAATAGATGAGCAAAAAAATGATGTCAAGGAAAAATTATTAGATGCTAATCTTCATATAGAAGATCAAGATGATTGTGAGATTGGGAAAAATTTGAATGATAGTGTGCACAATGATGATAGGAATCACAGTGACAATGAAAATAATATGAATGATGATAGTTGTTTAGATGATGTTTGTTAGAAAGATAAACCAAGTGATTCGCTTTTATTTGACATATATGATCCAAGAAATTGGGATGCCCTTGATTCTAAATTAATAGATATTCTTGCGAAAGATGGTCCTAAAAGAGATTTATCAATAAATAAAGGTCCTAAAGATAAATTCTTTAGAAGATTTTTTCAGCATTTTACACAAGATATTTGCCAAATGGAGAGAAGTGGGATCGAGATTGGCTTGTATATTCAAAAGAACTTGACAATGTGTTTTGTTTTTGTTGCAAAATTTTTAAAAAAGGTATAGGAAAAGGTGTTATGGTCAATGAAGGTTTTAGGGACTGGGCACATCTTGGTGTTAGACTTAAAGAGCATGAAACTAGTGTAGATCGTGTGACAAATATGACAAGTTGGATGGAGTTGCGTCTTAGATTACAAAAAAAATGAGACAATTGATAAAGTGGCTCAAGAACAACTTTTGAGAGAAAAAGAATATTGTAGGCAAGTACTATTTAGGATTATTGCAGCTGTGAAGTATCTTTCTAAATATAACTTGGCATTTCGTGGAACAAATGAGAAGTTGTATGAGAATAACAATGAGAATTTTTTGGGTCTAATTGAAATGTTTGCTGAGTTTGATCCTATCATTCAAGAGCATGTTTTACGTGTTAGAAATCGTGATATTCATCATCATTATCTTAGTCATAATATTTAAAACGAATTAATACTTATGCTTGCTACTGCAATTAAAACAAAGGTCATAAAAAATCAAAAAAGCAAAATATTTTTCAGTGATTTTAGATTGTACTCCTGATGTCAGTCACCAAGAACAAATGTCTTTGATTTTAAGATGTGTGGATATATCAACATATCCAATTAAAATAGAAGAGTTCTTCTTAGAATTCTTGGTTATGAATGACACTATTGGCCAAGGTCTTTTCGAAGTATTACAAAATGTGTTGATATCACTTGATCTTGATATAGATAATGTAAGGGGACAAGGTTATGACAATGGGTCAAATATGAAAGGGAGACGTCAAGGTGTACAAAAAAGACTCTTAGCTGTAAATCGTAGAGCATTTTATACTCCTTGTGGTAGTCATAGTCTTAACTTGACTTTATGTGACGTTGCAAACAGTTGTGGGAAAGCAAGAGATTTCTTTGGAGTAGTGCAACGTATTTACACAATATTTGCTAATTCCACAAAGAGGTGGCATATCTTGAAAAGTAATTTAATAAATCTAACTCTTAAGCCATTGTCATCTACTCGATGGCAAAGTCGCGTGGAATGTGTCAAAGCAATTAGATATCAAGTCAGTGATATTCGAGAAACCCTACTTCAAGTGGCAGATACAGACAGTGATTCTAAAATTCAAAGTGAGGCAAGATCTTTAGCTACAAATGAGCTTAGTAACTTTGAATTTTTGCTAGCGACAGTCATTTGGTTTGAAATCTTATATGCGGTTAATTTAGTTAGCAAGCAATTACAAACAAAAGATATGCTTCTTGATGTTGTTATTAATCAAATTAAAGGGTTAATTAGTTTCTTTCTTCAAGAACTATAGAGAAAATGGTTTTTCTAGTGCCATGGATAGTGCAAAGAAAATTGCCAATGAATTAGAAATTGAGCCAGTATTTCCTCAAAAGCGAAAAATTCGCAGAAAAAGACAATTTGATGAGAGTGTTGATGACATTTCATTATCACCCGAGGAATCTTTCAGGGTTCATTATTTTTTATACATTGTAGATCAAACTATTATTTCATTGACCCAAAGATTAGAGCAATATGAAGTATATGAAAGAACTTTTGGTTTTTTGTTTAGTTCTGACAAGTTACAATCGATGACTGATATCAATTTGAAGTCTTGTTACACTTGTTTAGAAGCAGCTCTTAAGAGAGATGATCAGTGTGGTGATATTGATGGAAATGAATTGTATGTGGAGCTAAAATTGCTTAGAGAGATTTTATCAAAAGAAAAGATAGGTGCACTGAGTATATTGAATTCATTGAAACAGATGGGTTGTTTTCCAAATGCGACTATTGCATATCGAATATTATTGACTATCCCAATTACTGTTGCATCTGCAGAAATGAGTTTTTCGAAGTTGAAATTGTTGAAATTTTACTTACGATCAACTATGTTGCAAGAGAGACTCAATGGATTAGCTTTAATCTCCATTAAAAATGAGTTTTTGGAAGAAGTTGATATCAAAAGTTTGGTAGATGATTTTGCGTCTAAATGTGCACGGCGCGTGTCACTTTTTAAATAAAATTTTAGATGTATTTTTTATGCAATGTTTATATGTTGATACAACTTTTTGAACATCGTAACTATTATTTATATATAGAAATTACTTATGAAAAAAGGGCCAAAATTATGATACTGTACAAGGCCCCAATTTTTATTGGAATGGCACTGTTCAAAATAAATCTTAGGGAAAAGTATCAAATTGGCCCCCTAAGTCAAGTGGATAGTGCAATTGGGTCTCTTAAGTGAAAAAAGCTTCATTCAAGTCCCCTAAATTGATAAAATTGTTCAATTAAGTCCGATATGACTTGTTTATCAGGTTAAATCGATATGGTGCTGACACGTGTCTTTCTTATTTTATTTTTTTTAAAAAAATATTTTTTATTTATTAAAAATATTATTTATTATTAATTAATTAATTAATTAATTAAAATAATAATAATAATAATTTTAAAAAATTAAAAAGAAAAAAGAACAGCAACCGGCTGTCCGCGTTGGACAGCTGGTGGCTGTCTTCCTTCTTCACGGACACCCGTGGCCGTCCGGCCATGGCCATGGCCGTCTTCTAGATCTGGACGAGGGCTACGGCCTTGGCCGCCGCCCTCGTTCCAAATGGAGGGGACTGGAACGATCCCCTCCGTCTGGAACGAGGGCGGCGGCCAAGGCCGTAGCCCTCGTCCAGATCTAGAAGACGGCCTTGGTCGTCTTCCTTCGTCGGTCATGGCTTTCTTCCTTAGACGGCAGTGAAGAAGGAAGACAGCCACCGGCTGTCCGGCGCGGAGCCGCGGACAGCCTGTGACTATTTTTTTTTTTTTTAAGTTTTTTAATTATTATTATTATTTTAATTTATTTATTTATAATAAATAATATTTTTAATTTTTAATAAATAAAAAATATTTGTTTTAAAAAATAAAATAAATAAAAATGACACGTGTCAACACCATATTGATTTAACCTGATAAACAAGTTATATTGGAATTAATTGAACAATTTTACCGATTTAAGGGACTTGAATGAAGCTTTTTTCACTTAGAGGACCCAATTGCACTAAACTCGACTTAAAGAGCTAATTTAACACTTTTCCCTAAATCTTATTTTATCTCAAAACACTTGGGAGTAATATATGGGCTAAACAAAACAAAACAAAACAAAAAAACAAAAACAAAAACAAAAACAAAAAACCAAATTACGAACCGACTCAGACGAAAATGTTACCTCCTCAAACCCTCAATGGAATGCTCAGGTCACAGTGATAGAGACAGAGATGGTGGAGATGGCGAAAGCTTTGAGCAGCGGAACGATGGATAGGATTTCCGATAGACTATCGCAGCTTGATAATCTTTACTTCCCACGCGCCGTCCAGTCGTCGGCCGCCACGCCTTCCCACCGGAAGTCCCTCCTCCTCGACCTCCTCTCTCGCGATGTCCCCCTTTTCTTAGGTATTCTTCAACATATCCGTGTCTCAATTCTGCTTTCGTTTTAACTAAGATGCTGGACTAATTTCATTTCTAAAATTTTTTAAAAGTTTGTATATGCTGCTGAATTAGAAATTGTCTGAGTTAGGTATCCGTTTTCTGATCCTTACGGTGTTTGCTTATGTTGAATTGCTTGAACTTAGAGCGCTATGGATCACTTTTGGCAGAGGAAGAGCTTAAAGAATTTGACGTGTTAAAGGATGATTATGAAATCAATTGGCACCTAAACCATCTGCTTAGTGTGATTAGCCCAAGTCAGGAGGAATTGAAGTCCAGATCAGTGAAGATTAAGAACCGGAGGCGGGCATATTTGGACAAGTTGATTAGTGGCGGGCAATACTTCTCGGAGGATGCAATGAGGGAAAGGGAGCCGTATTTGCACCATGAGTATGTGGGGAAGTTTCAGGATCCCAGTGGGAGGAGCATGGCAAGGCCTGGGGAGCGATGGTCAGAGACACTGATGAGGCGGTCAGAGGAGGCGATGCTGGTGGAGAAAATCAGGAATGAGCAGCAGAAACGAGGCGTGGCTCAAAGTGATTGGATAGGGTTTGGAAGGGATATGGAGGAGGAGGAGGAAGAAGAAGAGGAAGAGGAAGAAGAAGAAGAAGAGGATGATGAAGATGAGAAGGAATTGGAGTTGGAAGAAGAAGGGGAAAAGGATGAAAAGCAAAATCCAAAGGACACCATGGAGAATGGACCTGAGGTAATTGCTGCATATTAAGTTCTCTTGAATAAATGCTGCCTTTGGAGCTGTTGCCATTTACTTTTCCTAGCAATTAACTTGCCCACAGAAGGCGAAATCCCTCACCCGGGTCGCCCTACACCCCGGCCCGACAGGATTTGTCCAGGTGATAAATCACGGTGACTCAGCCACCTATTTGGTGGAGGACCAGTGTCTGACTGCCCGGTGCCCACCAAAAACCCACCACATTGAGTGTAACTCCCACACTGTGGTTGTCAAGCTCGATCCCGTGTCCTAGCTATTGACTGATAGTTTAGATTGTTGCATTTTGCATGGCTGTAGTACTGTCCCACTTGGAGCATAAGTTCTAAATTGTGTGTGTTCATTCTAATGTCCAACATTTTTTTTTTTTTTTTTACTTCCACTTCCTGAACATGCCTATTGTTCTTTTGAACCAGATACATACCTTTAGGGACAAATTTTAGCATTTAATTAAGAAGAATGCAACTATGCAAGCTTTCCCTTTTCTACATTTTTCCAGTATTTTAAGTTACGCTTTCAACCAGCTTGGTTGGCGTGAGTGGCCGTGCACTCTCATCCCTCAAGAGAGGTCAGGAGTTCGAACCCCCTCTCGTATGGAAAAACCAATATGTTGGGCCAGCCCGGTGTGAATGGGGATTAGTCTGAGTGTGGTACGGGCTTAAAGGTGTCTCCTACAGTTAGGGCCTGCTCAAGACACCTCATGTTCTGACAAAAAAAGTCACACTTTCTTCTTGGGGGGTTATTTGTAAATATGGATATTCTATTATCTATGTACTATGTGATTGTAGTATTTATATCAGTTCTTGCCTCTTGCATATTAGGTTTGATGCTTTCTTTCTGAAATTGGAGCTTAGTTATTCCTATTCTTATTTGTTCTTCCTTAAACTCTCCAGATACACGCAAACAATCCTGAAGGCAGCAACAACCTCCCATACGCAACCGCAATACCTGCTGAGATGGAGAGCTTGTCTGTGGAGGATATGCAAGACCGAATGGACCAGTTCACGTACATCATGCAACAGAAATTTTTATTAGGCGAAGATAACTTGGATTACTCAAAAATTGACGATGACGAAGCCTTGGATGATCATTGGATAAAAGAAGCAAATTATGATGCTGAAGAGAAGTACTTTGACGACATCTGAAAGAAGGGCGGGCTACACACAGGCAGTCTTCAGTGTACATTTCAATTGAACGCTTTCACATCTTGCACACTGACTGCTTTGTTTTCAATTCTCAGGCAGCTCTTCGTTTTGCTTACGCCAGAGGTTGCTGTTTGTAATGTAAATTAACTAGTTGGAATCAGGTAATCTTCTTTCAACGAGGTTTGGTATGAATAGTAGTTGGATGCCTGAATAGAGTTTCTCAATCAGTTCTGGGTTGAATATTAGCAGTGTTGGATCCTCTTGGAGAAACCCCCTCCCCTAAACCACAGGATCTTTGGTAACAGTGAATGGCATTGCATAATCTGCACCATATTCTCAGCTATGTTTTCAATGGGAACAGAATATGATAAAAACAGATAACAAATGTAGACATGTAAGTGAATTCAATTGCGATAAATTTTTTATCAGTAAAGGATTTCGATACAATTTTTTCTAGTTAAGAGATTCAATTGCGCTATTTAATGAACTTAGTCTTATTATATTTTAGCATTTATCCTTACAAGAATTGATAGTAGGCCTCTAAGATTGAAAGAAGGGAATTCATGTTAACCTAGCCTTGAGTATTAAGAGTTGTATTTGATTAAATATTATCATGTGTCATAATGTACATTATAGTTGACTGGTTGAGGTAGAACTGAGGAGTTGTGTTATAGAAGTAGGAGATTTGACTAAATATCTTATGATTAATGGCAGATAAGATGATCAGGGAACACATGGGTTGACTATGTCTTTTTTTTTTTTTTTTTTTTTTTTTTTTTTTTTTTTTTTTTTTTTAGCTCATATCCAATTGATCCTTTTGGATATTAGTGTGACAACATATTTTATGCAAAAACTTTGAGATGGATGGGTTGTATGACAAGGATGAAATAATTCTATTTTATTCAATAATCATATATATCTAAGGTTTTATCCCTTCAAAGTTTTGTATCCTCAACTATGAAGGTGACATTACTGAATTGGGCATTTATTCTTTTTCTCAAAAGAATATATTCCAATCTACGTGATAAAAATAATTAAAACAAGGTTGGAGTTAATTACTTCAAAATAAGAACAGCACTCAAGTAAGGCAAATTATGCGGTGCATCCGTATGCACCATACAGATGCAAAAACAATGTCGTTTTATTAAAAACGCGTGTCTCACTTTAAAAATAATAATTCAGTTTCGATTCCCAGCAACAACATATGAACTAAAATTCCAGAATCGATGAACTACAATTCCATAATCAATGAACTAAAATTCCAGAATCTAATCTATGAACTAAAAATTTCAAAATGAATGAACTAAAATTCTAGAATCGATGAACTAAAATTTCATAATCGATGAACTAAAATTTCATAATCGATACTAAAATTCCAGAATCTTTGAACTAAAATTCCAGAATGAATGAACAACATAATGCTGTTGAGGGGAATCAAACCTGATTTTTTTTTTTTTTAAGTGGGATGTGCGTTTTTAATAAAACGACGTCGTTTTTGCATCCGTATGCACCATGCATGGTGCATACGGATGCACAACGTAACTATCTACCCGAGTGAATTGAACGACCCCCGGCCCATGCGGATCAAGCGCAATTGTTATACCGTGCACCGCTATGTGCGCCCCGCGTCTTACAAAATGACGTCGTTTTGGTGCATTGTTAAAAAAAAAAAAATCTGTTTCAAATACACAAACTTATAACAGAATATACAGAAACTCATAATTGAATACGCATAATCTAACATGATACATAATACATAGTAACTCTTAATTGAATACACAGAAACTCTCAACTAAATACACATAAACTCTTAACTGAATCTACATAAACTTTTAACTGAATACACATAAACTCACAACACAATACATAAAAACTTTTTACTGAATACACATTATGAATTTTGTCCGTTTGGACGGACGGAGTGAACATCAGCAATTGAAACGTGCGCGTTTTGTGCCTGAGTGCACATAGCATGGTGTACGATATAAATTGCCGATCAAGCGCCTCCAACAACTTTGACTCCGTGTTACATGAGCATATTTAAGCCGAGATCATCATTGGCCAAGCTCACTAGCTGAGCCCATGCCCTAGCCGATTCCAAATTCGAACCTTGGGTCACGCTCAGGGCCACCTTGGGCTTGCTTCCCTTAGACTCCACTTCCCCCTTGAGTCTTCTTGGGCAAAAGTGTAATATCCCCATCACTAGGTTTGTCAACTTATATCATACCAAGTATATTGAATTTGGTAGAGAATCAACTATCTTTTTTGTAATCCAGCGTTACTTATGTAATATGAATTTAGAGGTGATTAACTATAGATTTACATTGATTTAAAACATTAATAGTTAAACGAAGAATTTTTTTAAAACTATTCAAGCTAAACTCATTGGAGTTTCCTTTCAAAAAAAAAAAAAAAAAAAAAAAAACTCATTGGAGTTTTTGAAAGTCACGTTCAACAAGTTAATTGATACAATACCTACTTTAAAAGTTCAGCTCTCGATCTTTAATAAATTCAATAATGTATAAAAGTAATATTTATCCTTATAGATCATCATTATTTGTCTGAAATGATATAGTCATTAATTTTAAAAAGATTAATGAAGAGGATTAGATGCATAATTCACAGAATTGGTTGCAGAGCTGTTACAGAAGCTAGAGAGGAAGAAGATAACTAAACTCTAACAAGATTTTTAAATTTGCCATTAGTGTCATATGCAGGTAAACAATCTATTTATAAGGATTAAACAAATAAAGCATCAAATGGTCTCGTAGCTCAGTTGGTTAGAGCGTTGGTCTTATGAGCCGAAGGTCGCGGGTTCGAGCCCCGCCGGGACCATATATACCCTTTCTAATTTCTACTATATCAGAAAATTCGAGGGATGATGACTCTTTTATACCCACAATTTGGTGGTTTACTCTTTTGAATGTTTTGCCATACATGATTTACATCTCCTTTTATATTTTATCAAAATGAACATTTACCAATGATCCATGCCTTGATTTATTGTATAATTTTTCATACATAATTTACATCTTCTTTTATATTAATCATTTATTATATAATGTATATACACACATGCAGTAGTACTGTAGTAGGCATCTAAAATTGAAAGAACGTGTAAGATGGGTTTAGAGTTGATTAATGAAAAATTTACATCACATTAGTATGTTTATAACGCAGTTAATGTCAAGGAATTGATCGTGATTTTGAACTTGTTCTTTCCATGACCCATCTTAATTGAAATGAGACGAAAGATCATTGCTTAAAGTAGGAATCACTAAAATTTAGTTAATTCGTTTGAGTTAGAAATTGATTTAGATATATACATTAAACGTATTGCATAATGCTCTATTACTCTTGTTTAGTAAATGGCGTTTTGGTTATTAAAAAATCAATATACTTGATTACTTTAACGGTTTGCCTTAGTATCAAAATGCAAATAAATAAATAAATAAATAAAGGTTTGATAACTAAGTTTGATATCTTTTCAAACTTAAAAATGTTAAAATTTAAAATGCTACTTAAACTACCATTTTGAGTTGACATTTTGAAAAAAAAAAGTTTCTTCTCTCCAAAATGCCCCTACATTAAGAAATCATAATAAACCACCAATTCACATGTGAACCTTTTATCTCACAAATATTTGTAGACAATACAAATTAAACTCTAAGGAGTGTCTGGTTGGATGGAAAACATTTTTCATGGAAAATGATTTCTTAAAAGTGAAGGAAAATGTTGTTTGGTTGGATGGAAAACATTTTCTATTGGAAAAATTCCTCAAACTTGAGGAAAATGAATTCTTTGTAAATGGGTGGGATTTTGTTTTCCATATGGATTGGGAAGAAAAATAACATGAATGTATCGTTTTACCCTTATGAAAGTTTATTAATTACATAGGCACCTATTTATTCATTCATATTTTTAAAGGCATATTGGTCTTTATATTCATTATTCCTTATCTTACTAAACCCAACCAAACAATGAAATCCATATTCCCAGTGATTTCTTTTCCACCAACCAAACAATTGAATCAATTTTCCATGAAATTTCAATTCTATTTCCTTTCAAATATTTTCCAGCGAACCAAATGGGCTGTAAAAGTTTGAGTCTCACGACTCCAGAGAGTCCTCTTTTCTTCACAATCAATGTGGCACAAATACAAGGGGAGCTTAGATGCAAGCTTTCCATATGTTTTGTTTATATACTTAATTTTAATTTTTATTGTTATATAATAATAATAATAATAATAATAATAATAATAATAATCATAATAATAATAATCATAATAATAATAACAATAATAATAACAATAATAATAATAATAATAATAATAATAATAAGAAGAAGAAGAAGAAGAAGAAGAAGGCTTGACTTGTGTGCACCTCAACTTTGTAACATTATATCTCTCTTAAAATTCTTAATGCTCATTTGTTCAACTCCATTTTATCTTGTGAAATTGATGTTACAACGCTTGTAGCATCTTTTTTCATCATGGGAGACTGATGCTCCTAACACCTTTGTTTATCTCTCTATTTTATCTTGGGAGACTGCTACAATACGCCTAACACCTTTATTCAAATATATTTGTAATGTTAAACATCAATTATATAATATTAATAGTTTTGTAGCTCGGTTGATTAGAGTGTTGGTCTTATGAGCCGAAGGTTGCGGGTTCAAGCCCTGTTGGGACTATCATATCTAACATATATATATAATCGACTTGACTAAAAAATATGTCACAATCCATATTAGTTAAATTCAATTTCTTTTTTCCATCTGAAAGACTGATGCTCCTAACATCTTTGTTTATCTACATTTTATCTTGGAAGACTAACACTATAATACACTTAACACTTTTGTTCATCTTGGGAGACTGACGATACAATGTTTCTAGCACCTTTGTTTATATTCATTTTAACTTGAGAGATTGACACTACCACGTTCCTAACACTCTTGAAAGGTTGTGAATAAATTTTATGAAAATGTGTGCATAACACGACTTAAATTTTATTCTTTGAACTATCCGTTCCATTTGCTTCTACTTAAATAAATTTCCTACATCAAGGCAATCATTATTAGTCAAAGTTGATAAGGTCATTGACTTTGAGAAGACTAATGAAAAGGATTCAATGGTTCACGAGCAGAAATTAGTTACAGAGTTGTTATATTAGTTAAAATTACTGTTTTATTCAAATAGATTTCTAATTTTAAACATCAATTATGTATTATTAATGGTCTTGTAGCTCAGTTGGTTAGAGCATTGGTCTTAT